TCTTTTCCAGTCTGTTTTCTCATTTTAAAACCACAAAAACAATGAGACATCCATAAGATTATCAATGAGAATCATGTATTAAATGTGTAACACAATTCTCAGTTTGACAGGCTGAGTCAAATGGCTTAAAAATCATCTTCACATGGGTGGCTCTCTCCAAACTATCATACTTAATGGCTTATCTACACCTTCAACAGAAAAAGAATTTAACAGAACTGACGATCAATGCTTCTTCTTAGAGAAGAGTGAAAAAAATCAGAACACAAACCTCCACGTTTATCACAAACATCATAAAGACATGGCTGAACCCATCAAAACCAGTAAACACGCCCAAGCTGTTATTAACAGACAATTCTGATATTTAATCTAGCCCCAAAATAGACTCACAGGAGTGAATAATCTTGATACCTCTTAACTCAGCAAGTGTAGAAAGAAAATTTCTTATGAACTAAAAAGAAACACGTAATGTAAGTAGTATAGCATGGAAAATAAGAATAGTCTATTTCTGAATATCAAATAAAATTATAGTTTTCAGGGAACACTGACACAATAACAATCTTCAAAGCCACTGCTGTTAGAATGAATAGAAATGGGTTTAAATTTCAACATAAAGGCTTGGGGGTTAATTTCCTGAATATTGTTAAACATTCTATTAACAAGAGAAGACTTGAATTTCTGCTTCATTAATGACCTTTAAAATGAGAGAAAATTTTCATTTAGGTCTAAGTGCGGTTCTCTTCCTTGTCTTCAAGTCCCAATAAGAATGCTGTGACACACTGATGTTTTAACAGGAAGAACTTTACTCACAAAGTTATGGATTTAGAACATTCTCTGACTGAGGTCTACTGACCACAACAATACAAAAAACTCCACCTCTGGAGGCATCTGGGAATGTGGATAGGGGACATTCTGAAACAGTCACGTTGACTCTGCGGGACAGCAAAGGGGAAGAACCACACCAATGGTAACTGGTACTTGGGCCCCAAATGCTAAGTGAATGATAAATCATATGCCACACACAGTATAGCAATACAATCTACTCAACTCTTCTACTCTCACCAAAAAAAATTATATAAATGTTCCCCATTCCTCTCTCCTTTAAGAAAGCGAAGTCCGTCAAGCCTTTACTCTTCAAAGTACAGAGCTCAATATGGAGACCAGAAGGTATACAATTTGTAGTCTACTGGAAGACAGCTTGGGGTACTACCATTCTCGTCAGACGCTATTCTTTCCCCTCTTTTTTCATGATCATAACCAAGTAAACTCTTTTCAAAGATCCATGCCCACAATTTTCTCTAACAGCATGGTAATTCATCTTTGCTCCAACAACAAACTTTCAGCTGTTACATATGAGAAAACTCCTTTGCTCCAGTAAGTATGGCAGAATAAAATTTTCAAGTATCCTTGGAATCTTGCCTCTATAGATGCAAGGAAGAAGATCCATATACAACATTTTGTGTGTAGCAACATACGTGCATTTTAAGGGGGATAAGGGTCACAGTTTTCCTAAGATTTTCAAGAGTCTATGATTTTAAAACATTTTTTAAAAAAAATAAAAATCAACTCTATTGAAATCACCCCCCAAATCTTTGATGATTCCTGTGCTCAAAAGCCTGGTGGCTTCCCAAGCTAAAACATATGGTTTAAACTCTCTCAACATATTAGTCAAAGTCCTGCATAATGCAGCCATTATCTCAACTATCTGGAGTTTAAAACTGCTGTCAATTTCTTTTATGTACCTTTTGATTCCAGCAAACTAGACATATGTTTTTCCTTCTCAAGGCTCTGCTCACAGTTTTCTCTTGAAACATTTTCCTATATCCTCAACCATCAAAATCGTAATCATTGTTCAAGGTCTAGTTCAAATGCCACACCTATAGTGAAGACTTGCCTGTCTACTCAGCAGAAATTAATCGCCTTAGCAGCTGCGCTTTCACAGTATCTGTTACTTTTACTCAGCACCTGTCCCATCCCACATGGATCTATGGTTTGTTTCTAAGTCATATTCGACTCTTCAGAGACCCCGTGGACTGTAGCCCACCAGGCTCCTCTGCCCATGGGGTTTCCCAGGCAAGATTATTGGACTGGGTTGCCACTTCCTTCTCCAGGGGGCCTTCCTGACCCAGGGATGGAGCGCACTTCTGCATTGCAGGCACATTCTTTATCGCTGAGCCACTAGGGATTTATATTTACATAAATATACCTGCCCTGCTAGAATGTAACTAAGGGGTAAAAGCTGTGTCCCATGCCTCACTGTGATCAGCAGTAGGCAGCACAGTATCTTAGATAAAATAAAGGTAAATATCTATTAAATTAAATCTGACTTAAAGGGAAATTTGACTAATAATAAACAATGAAAACAAAATAGAGCAAAATATCTGGAAAGGATATGGCAGTCACATCCCCAAAACTTACAAAGTGACCATTCTACTCCAATTATGTACAAATTCATACCCATAAATTCTTTCACAAAGAAAATGATAATTCAGTTAGTCTATATGAATAACAGCTTTAAAATAAATGTTTTCCAAAAAAGTATTCTGACAACAGTTAATTAAGTACTACACAATTACAGATTTTAATTAACCATGACTATGATATTCTACTATTCCTGACCATAATGTATGTCTTAACTACCAGACTGTTTCTATTCTTTAGCAGAGCTCTACTCAAGTTTTCTAATGGTTAAAATTAATTAGTTTACTGATAACTACATTAAAGTGGTTCAGGAATCATCAAATAACTATGTTCAGGTTAAATTAAATCCTAAAAATATAAACAACTATAAAAAAACCAAGTCTGTGAAATTTTATACTTTATAATTATATAAAACCAAGTATACTAGAAAACTACACATTTTTTAAAAAACTAAGAGCTCTGTCTCTTTTGGTTTACTTTGTAAACTATTTTATACAAGTTCCTTATAAGAATATTCAGGGGATAATAAGACTTAGCCAACTAAGAAAAGATACTTTTTACATCACATAGCAATTTAGATCATCAGAGGAAAAGAACTTATTTTCCCAGTCAAGAATGCTTGCCTAATTTTAGTAACTTCAAGGCTCTACACTATAGTGGAGTGGAGTGGAGTGAAGTCACTCAGTCATGTCCAACTCTTTGCGACCCCATGGACTGTAGCCTACCAGGCTCCTCCATCCATGGGATTTTCTAGGCAAGAACACTGGAGTGGGTTGCCATTTCCTTCTAGGCAAATGGGTAGGAGATAATACATGAGTGAAACAAAAACCTTTGAGTCAATTTTAAGTGCTAAATATTGCTTTTATTATGTAAAGCCTGTGAACTCCCTACTGGAAAAATTAGCTAATAAACATGTTCATGGGTTCATCAATTTTCCTAGCATATACCTAAAGCCATATGTAAACACTAGAAACATTTTTGTTTATATATGTTATACAGAGGCTCCTTATATAATATTAAGTTACTCAAAAGCAATTAGAAACTTTTGGTTTAAAAATATGCAAACACTTGCTAGCTGAGATACTGAAAAATGCAGGACAAAAGCAGAAGCAGGAACAGTACAAAAAGCAACTGTAATGCCAAATAAAAGGTCTCACAATTAACAACCTATGTGACAACCAATACAGGTTTTAATAAAACAGACTGAGCTGTATAAAATTCTTTATATTCTTTGCATACTCCTGTATATTTTATCTTTCTCTAAAAAATTAATTAAATGGTGGGAAACAGCTCAAAGAATTTCAGAAGCAACATTATTTTAATCTGGCATGTTATGACACCTAGATGAAAGGCAGAATTTGTGGTCTTGGTTATAAACACTATGATTTTAAAAGCTAATAATGGCCTTCTACTTTATGAAGAGTGCTACCAAAGGAAAACACAAGAAATGACACAATAGGAAGTACAGTATGGTAGACTGGTAATCAGGAAATTAAAATTCTAGCTCTGCTATTCTTAGTTACATAGGAACTATGTAAACTTTGGCAAAAATTTTCTTCACCTCTCTGAATTTCAGACTCCTCATCTCATCCATAAATAATGAGAGAGTTGACTTTGTGTTCTCTTTTCTTTATATCTGTGTGTGTGCATATATACACATAAAATATCTAAATGTTAATGCTGGTTTAAAAGGAGAATTAGAAAACATTAGACACTGAAAATTCAAAAATATTTATGTTTCATATAAACAAATACACTTGAAAAAACAGGTATTCTGAAAGTTAAGGATAGGCAAACAAGAAGTAAAGAAGAGCTACGCGTGTTAATTAAAAACATACAGCAGGAAACTAATTACCCTCCCATTTGGGGTTCCAAAAATATTATAAATTCATGCCTGCTATATTTTAGAATGTTGATTATTAATTACTTCCTGGATGAACATCAGGAATATGACATAATATAAAATTAACACACAATTACCAATTGAAACTAAGCACACTTTACTCTGGAAAGCCAAAATCTAATTATTTTTATAAAGAAGCAATTTTGTAACTTAGAAAAGTGTTCAAAAGCAGCAAACAATCTGAAAGTATACAACTATAAAATGGCTAAATGTTGCACACTTATTAATGCCAAACAATATTTCTACTTTTATTCTTTAAAACTGTCATGTAACTCACTTCAAATTTCTTTTTTAAGTATAAAACTGAAGAGAGAGGAGGCCCCAGAGCTCAGAACTGCCGAAGAACAAACTACTCACGTAGTAGAATTCTATATTCTGAGAAGGAAGTCCCTCATTGCTCAAACATTCCATGAGTAAATAACTTCTATCATAAAGCTCTAATTCATGCATCAGGAGAATAGGTGGGTTTTAACAGAACTGTTCTTAAAGATTCTTTCTTAGAAAATATGAAAAATGGAGTAACTGTTCATTTGCCAAAGACCATAATATAATTTTTTTCAATCCTGAACTGATTGTTATAATTTAAGGTGAAGCCTTACTCCTGAAATTACGAAGCACAAAATATCAATTAAGATTTTCATATAGGCCATCAAATTTGTTTTTTAAAAAAATTTCTTACTGTAATGAAGTCATCCCCTTTAACCATTCTTCCTTGGTAAAAAATCCCATGCTTTCAGCCTCCAATTTCCACGCTAAAACTAACATAATAATCTGGAAAGAACAGAACATAAAGGATAGGGGAGAAGTCAGCACAGAGATTATCATGTCTATATTTATCATGGAGAGCAATTTTATACAACTATTTCCATCCTTCAACTATTAAAGCGTACAATCTCGAATTAATAACTGTAAAGAAATTTAGATGGGTCAATTTCTTAAAAGCAAAATATTCTAACAGTTTCTGAAGGTAGAATCTCTCTTACTCTATTACAAAAGACATTTATATCAAGAAAGATAATACATGCCCAAGTTAAATTCACTTAAAAAAAACTTAAATGAAAATTTGCAATATTCATGAAGAAATAAAATCTTCTTATAAGATTAAACTGTTCCAATTTTTAGAAATTTATGAATATGCTATACCCCACTTGCATTACATTCTACTTAAAAATAAAACATACATTTTCAGGTTCAACACCAATGTCTTCACAAAATTTTTCCATTCCTTCTGGCCCTACAACTTCATCAGGACCTTCAAAGACAAAAATAATTTATATATTTTATTGTTATAACTTTATATCAACATAAAACAGAAGCCACTGTGTTAACAGAATTTATGAATACATAACATTTTTTTGTGAATAACTGACTGAATTTTGACATACCTTTGATAAAGCATGAATATTTGTAGTACAGATTAAATTTTTTTTAACTTTGAAATCCTCTTTGAACACATTATAAAATATAATTAAGGACATACAAACAAACATTAATCACTAGGTTGTACAATCACTTGAATCTATCCTTAAAAATACATTTACTGAGAGCTTCCTCTGAAGAAATTTTTTGACAACGCATCAATATAAAGAAGCACAAGAAGGTTTCAGCTGCTTATTCTACTAGAATATGCCAGTACCAACCCACAAATCAAGACAGTAAACAGAGAATATCTGTTTCTTACTAAAAATTTAATACTTTCAAGATATAACAACAATGATATAAGAAAATGGCTCATTGAGATTCCAGAATGAGATATTTTCCTAGTAAAGCATGAATATTATGTAATCTTAATGTGGAAATAAATGCTTAATTAGCTATGTCTGTCATTAGTTCAAAAATTAAGGACATTTTCCCTATTTTTTCCCTTGGTAACACAAAACATTAGCCAGTACATCAATTCTCCTATTTTTTATGTTATCTTTTGATTTGATAAGAGTAAAACAAATTTGTGACAACATGGATGAACCTCAAGGGCATTTTGCTAAGTGAAACAAGTCAGAGAAAGGGAAATACAACGTGAGCTCACTTGTATAAGGAAGCTACCAAAAACAATCAAACTCAGATACAGAGAAATGATTGGTGGCTGCCAGAGGCAGGGGTGGGCAAAATGAGTGAAGATAGTCAAAAGGTACAAACATCCAAATTTAGTAAGTCCTGAGGATGTAACATAGAGCAGGATGACTATAGTGTTAATAATACTATTTCATGTATTTGAAAGTAGCAAGAGAGTAAATTCTTAAAAGTTCTTATCACAAGAAAACAAAATTTGTAGCCATATGTAGTGACAGGTGGTAATCATTTTGTGATAAAAACATATATCATTATGTTGCATACCTGAAATTAATATAATGATATACCTCAATTTAAAAGGCTAAAATAAATTTTAAAACTAAATATGATAGAAATATGTTTACCATACCTGGTTTTTGAAAGAAAACAGTCTTCAAATGTTAAAGTAGCTAAGAGAAACTTGTTTTCCTTTCTTAAGGACTAAAAATACTCCAGCTTATATGTCATGGACGAGACCAAGGCTGCTCAGGTGGCATTTTATATCACCATCATTAGTTCATAAGCACCACATGGGGCCAATGTCCTATGGTTTTTCTTAGTAGAAAAATGTAACCACCCAGTATGGGACCAGTTAAGCTTTTATTGTCTCAGATGAGGTCCAGACTGCTAAGATGATGTTAACACATGATCTGAAACCAAATGTTTTAAAAATTCTTTGGTCTAAATAAGTATTGTACTTTTTTATACAGTGAAATGTTAAAAGGTTATGGGGTGGTAATTATAGGAAACTTTCACTTCCTAATATACATTTGGAGGCTTTTTTATGAAAATGTGTTAATTATGTAATTTTAAAAGCACACATAACATAATTAAGGTGTTAAAAAAAATAACGAAATGTGCATCCTTATATGTGCTTTGGATGAAAATAAAAACCAGTTAAAAAAACTGAATGGAAGAAAACAAAGTTTTTTTAAGTCATGATTGAAATATATTTTAAACTTTCCTAATGCAGCAAGAAAGCAAACTTGCCCTCCACACTGCCATCACCAGTAATTAGAAGAGAAAGCTGAAGAGTCATATCAAGAAATATCAGAAAAAAAAAAAAAAAGAAATATCAGTTACTGTCATAAAAAATAGCCTCCCTAGAAAATGGGAGACTACTCATTAAAATGTGATAAGAATCAAGTTAAATTGTGTTATATAGATATATAAGATACATATAAGACCTTTTCATAAATGTCAAGTGACTTTCACAAAACAAATAACAATCTAAACCTAAAACCAAGTCTGTACTAATGTTCTTTTCCTCAGGTCATGTAACATCAATTATACTTCTTCAAACAAACTCTTCCAACAAAACTACTTCCAGGGTAAAACCTCTGGAGTAGAATTTAACTATTTCAGGCACAAAATGGGTTTCTACTCAACTTAAGAAGCTATGAAAATGATTTAGTTCACTCTACCAGCTGGTTACTTTACTAGGACTAAGCAATTATATTCCCCTTTTTTGAGTCTTTATAAGACTTTAAAATGCCTTTTCACTTCCTACACCTTTCTTCAACAACAGGCCTAATGTATTCCTGAATCCTTGCCAATGCAAATATCACTCAAAATGAGAGGTCTTATGAAAGGGAAAAACTATCAGGCTTTTCACACATCACTTATGACCTACAATATCTTAGTAACAAGATTTGTGGTAAAACATCTTGTTGCAGTTGTTTCGCTCAATCATGTCGGACTCTTTTGTGACCCCATGGACTGCAGCCCTCCGGGCTTCTCTGTTCATGGAATTTTCCAGGCAGTAATACTGGAGGGGGTTGCCATTTCCTCCTCCAGGAAACACTTTTAAAATTTAAAAGAAAATCAATTTTCTGATGGTTTAATAACCATAGTTCCCAGCTGTATCTGCAGAGTCTAAAACAATGCCAGCCAGAGCAAATGCTCAGGGGGGTGGAAAATCTGCTCAAAGCATGACACAGCACCTTAAACATAAGCTACATAGGAGCTACACTGTTAATTTTTTGGAACAGTATTGTAAAAATATACAACCAGTAAATCTAATGCTGCAGTACTATTACTCTATTAATAATAGCTAACATTTACTGGGTTCTAACTACATACCAGGAACGGTACACTAAGTGTTTTATTTACATGTTTTATCTCAGAAGGCACAATTATTGTCTCCATTTTAAACAAGGGCATCTCAGTTACTCTACCTGACAAACAACTAGCACCTCCTCATCGTTTAGGTCTCTGACTGAAGCAATCTCCAGAGAGACCTTCCCTAGTCACCTTATTTGAAAGTCCATCCCAACTTTCTACTTTCTATCCCTGCATCACACCACATTATTTATAATCCTCCACCATCTGTAATTATCTCGCTTATTTACTGTGTCTTCCCCACTAGAAGGCAAGTCCCCCAAGGGCAGGGATCTTGTCTGGCTTGTTCACCACTATACTCCCAGCACTCAGCACAGTGCCTGACACATGGATACAAGTGCTCCGTAAGTAAGGATCATTTGATGAATGACAGAAAATAAGTTAACCTCAAGTATACTTACTAATTTTTGGAAAAGGAAAATTGGCTGCCGCATACAAATTGTAAAACAAGATAGTAGCAGTTAAGCACAGGCTACATGGTCAGAATGACCATGGTTTGAATCCAGGCTCCTGTCATAGTATGACCTTATCTCGGGCAAATTACTTGATCTAAGCTTGTTTCTCATCTATAAAACAAGAATACCACCACCTACTTAGCAGAATGGTCACAGGAAAAAATCAGATAATAAAGAATAAAGATAGCAATTAGTCTGCTGGCTATTAAAAAGTGTTGGCACAGAAAATAAATGGTTAATGAAATCTAATCCTATGCTACTTAGGAAAGTCCCTATCAGAGGTAAGACAATCAAGCATGAAAGAAAAAAAAAGACTAATTAAGTTTATGTATCTAGTACCCTTTATAGGTGAAGTAAGATGACCAGCCTTTGATTCTATATCTTACCATGCATACCAGTAAAACTGGCATTTTGAATACTGGGTCAACATTTCAAATGGAGGTCAAAAGAAAATGAATTCCCTCTATTTAATTTGGGTTAGTGGTTGTCTTGGGATGCCAGTAATAGCAGCTTTTCTGGTCTATAAAGAATCTGTTCTGTTACTAAACAAGTTTTAAATTATATTGTTGAGATTGCTCAGAGGATACCAACAGTGAAGCTACTGTCTCTCAAAAGTCTTTTTTTTTTCCATACATAACCTAAAACTAAATCTTAAGTTCAAAGTTCCCTTGGGATCTAGACCTTATTATCACTAAATATAAGACAATGACTGCATATACAGTGTTTTATTCTAAACAAACACTCTGAGGATGATAGATAAAAGAGGAAAAAAAACCCCAAAAAACCCAACCAGGGAGGCAGGTAAAAGGAGGAAACAGTTGGGGGTGAGAGCAAATTTAAAATCAATAATTCCAAAAATAACTAAATCATTCTAATGATTCTATGGGGAAAATGTATAAAATTTAATATGAATTAATCTCCCCTTTAACTGCTATGAAGAAGTTAATAATAAATGGGAAACAAAGTTTCTTTTTCATATACTTAACTGTGGCCTCATCCCACGCTTTTGACTTTTACCTGAACTAGTCTCATCCTAGACCTAGAGTTTTTCATTCACCACCTACAGGATTTAGTGCAGGTTAAACTAGCTTCTTCAAGAAATTTTCACTGACACTTTCAAGGTTGGGTTATACACTCCTCCTATAAACTCTCACATTGCATCTTCCTAATATATTAATAGCATATAGAATACTATACTAACATCAGTCTGTTTACTTTCTTATTATTCCATCTCCAGTGGAAGTGAATGGCTAAAAAAATAACTGTATTAAAGGGTAAAACTGTCATGGAATGATATATGAGTTTTAAATCTTTTACTATGTCTTCCCAAAAGTTTCACAAAAAAAACTTTCAGAAAATACAAGCTTATGGTTCAGAAAAACTTCAAAGAAAACTGAAAAGAAAAACAAGAACCATATAAAGTATAAAATGTTCTACTACAAACTGTTTTCCAGAATACCAACTCTACTATAGCCAATGGACATAAACCAATAATGAATCTATTTACACATTTTACTAACAGTAAATGAGTTTCACCCTACCCACTAACCATATACTGAATTACATATTTTAAAAAATATCAGCCTGAAAGGGCACCAAATTCTTAGCCTAACCATAATCCTCAGTCTTGACCCTGATCTCAGCACACAGCACTAACACATAGCAGGCCTGCAATAAATATTTGTTAAATGAATGAATAAAAAAAAAAAGTTTTAAAGCATGTGACTGATATCTTCTTATATTAATTTCATTACCTGCATACTCATAAAACCAAGCCAGGCACTTCTTGCTTGAAAAATGTTCCTCTCCACTTATTAGTCTAGCAGGGGGTTGGGATCTGCAATAGCTTAGAAAACACACAAATGCCTAAGAATTTTATCAAGTCTCAACTTTTAGTGAAAAGCTAAGTTCAATATGAACTACTTCAATTCAAACCAAAGTCTTTTTTTTTTTTTACAGTTGGTGTTATAGGGAAAAACTGTAATTGTTAAATATATGCAATTTGAAACAGTAATCTAGACATAAAAATTTCTAGCTAACAAAGCCCAAATGCTACTTTGCTCACTATCAAATACCAAAAAATATCACTAAAATTATTGCTCCCAAATTTCAAAAGACCACACGGAAGTTCAACCTAATGGTATCAATGCAGGACTGGTAGTTGGGAAAATATAAATCTTTACAGTGATTCTGCTGATTTGCATAAAAATTCTATATGTGTATAATTTGAAAATGAACCTTACAAAGTATATTTTGATAACCAGGGAATCAACATTTCAGAATATTATATACTAGGAGTTGTTTATTTACCATCTACCAAACTTAAACAAACATTTTAAAGATAAAAGATAATATAGGACTTAAAGGTATAATTAGATTCCACAGATTAAAAAGAAAAAAAAACACAAAAAAAACTCTATCATACTAGTTCAAATAATTGGGCCAAAGCAGTTTAATCCCAGGATCTATCTTTTTAATAAAATAATTAAAATTTAGAAAGTTCATAAGTGGCCTCTAAAATTTAACAGAGAAACTTTTCTCAAGGAGCTCAGTTATACTACCACAGTGACAAGAATGCTATAACTGCTGCAACTATGTGATAGTTTTTGAAAAATGTAATATAAAATAAGGGTGCCAAATTAAAAGTTTAAGTTGATAGAGCAAAGTATCACCTGAGTGCTAAGAATACTAACAGCTCAGCCGTTTTAATGTGCTTAATTTAAATAATTTTAATATGTTATACATTTAAGATTGCTACAAGTTAAAGTAAAAGAAATCTAATTTGCATGCTTCATACAAATATGAGCTAGTGGAGTATATGTCAAATTCTAGTATGAGTTATTAAGAGGTATAAGAAAACAGCAGTATCTTTCACAGTAATAGTCAAATACCCTCGGGCTCTTCCGCCAACCACAGTAATAGGAGGAAAGATCCAACCTATTAAAAGATGAAGCAGACTAAAGAGGTCACCTACCTTACATTTTAAGCAGATTTCTCTTTAAGGCGAGCTCTATCATTATCTCCTCTTAACAATGCTGGCTACTTTAAATGGTAGCATCTGAAGTTCTTACATTAAATGCCAACCAGTAAGACAGTCAAGACATCCAATAAGGAGATTTAAAAAACCCACTTCTCACACGTAAATTGCAATGATTTTTTGCAGCATACAGTGTTGCTGTAATGCCTTAATGACATGCTACAACGGAACCAAAGAGCTATTATACTACTACAACTCTGCATTGCTTTCTTTTTCTCCAAGAAGATGCAGAGTACAATAGCTCTCAAATTATTAATATTTATGTTGAGAGCTAACAGCATCCTGATGGCTAAACAACAAAACGCATGCAGGGCCTTTTCAACTTTGCACATAGCGACTTGGCTATGGAGGCACTATAGCCAAGCACTTATTTGGCAGGTGGAGGCACTATGCTTCCAGAAAATGGGGCTCCTGCTGGGATGGTCCGGGTTAGAGCACTCCAAATACTAAATCTGGAGGCCAATTCCAGCACAAGGAGCTTCTCTCTCTCTGACTCCCAAAGCAGCAGTCAGGTCGAAATTCCTCGCGCTCTGCTCCTTTCTTCACAGTCTACAGAAAAATTCTAGAAGCGACCCTGGCACGGATCCGGACACTGCCAGGTCTGGTTGAGGGCGGGGGAGGCTTAAGGAACGAGGGGTCCTCGTCTCCCCCACCCGCCCCGGCACGCAGGCTCGGACGGGAAGCGGCTCTCAGAATCCCTCAGCGGCGCCTGAGCACACAACCCGACACGAGGCGGAGCCCGGCACACTCACGCGGTCCGGCGCCTGCCACCCCGGTTAATCAGAGGGGCTCGCCTCTCCGCGGCCCGGCCGGCCGCCTCCTCTTTCGGTCCTGCAGCGAAAAGAAAAGACTGAAGGGCAGGGGGCGGCGGTACCTGGAGATTTTACACTTTTTGAGGCCTCCGTCTTCCGCCGCTGCCGCTGCCACCCCAGGAGATTTTCTCTTCTTCTTCACCGGCATCTTCCGCCCTCCCCGGCGGGGCGGGCAGGCGAGCCGGGGAAGGGGGTCGCTGCCTGCTGAGGACTCCTCAGGGCTGGCTCCCGCTTCCCAGAGACAGCAGCGAGCGAAGGAGCAGAGCCGCCAGCCCGCCCCCGAGCGGCGCAGCCCGGCCGCCGCTCGGTCCCAGGTCCCCTGCCCGTTCTTCTCAGCGCAGAGCCGCGGGGGCTCCCCGCCTGCAAGCACTTCAGCGGACCACACCGGCGACAGAACGCAAACGGCGCGGCACTACCGCCAGTCACACACTCCGACAGCCAGAGGTGCAGCCTGACCCGGATGCGGATCGTCCGAGGCCGGAAGTGACGCGACTCAGAGACGGACGCCGGGAGGGGCGTGGCTCCTCTCTGCCTGGCCGGGTTATTCTGTGAGGCCGCTTCCCATGGAGAAGTTGAGGGTTCCTGAGACGTTGACCGCCTTTAGTTGTCAAAGCTATCCCGATTTTTTTCACGAAGCTTCCATCCTGCCTTAATGCTGATGGCAACCCCCTCCAAAATGTCTTAGGAAACCACTAATACTCTGCAGGATGCCATTAATTGGTTCAGAATGGACATGTGATTCTAGGCAGGCCAATCAGTGCCAAAGACCTGAAACTGAAGCGTCGGGAAGCAACTTTATTTCCTATGGACTTGAACCTGAGAGGAGGTAGAGTATGAAGCCAAAACTCAGAAGAGATCTGAATCAAGCAGAAAGAAAAATCAAGAAGACATTTTATGATATGAGTCTGTGCTGTACCCTAGAATTTTCAGATACTTGATCAAATAAATCTCACTTCTTTGCTTATGCAATTAAGTTCTCTGTCACTAGAACCAAAAGAATGTTATTTTTGAACCCAAATTGGAACAAAATCAAGTTTCTATAAAGAAATACTACTTGTAAGTAGAGGACAGAGAAACATGTTAAAACTCTGTGTGATCAGCAAAATCTAGACTATCAGAAGATGTACAAGAAAATGACTGAGATTCAACAGCAAAGCATTCGAGTGAGGGAGAAAAAAGGAAATTGTAGAAGATATTTTAAAAACAGATCAATGGGGGGAGGGGGGACTGGGATGGGGAACACATGTAAATCCATGGCTGATTAGTGTCAATGTATGGCAAAAACCACTACAATATTGTAAAGTAATTAGCCTCCAACTAATAAAAATAAGTGAAAATAAATAAAAACAGATTAATCATTTTTCACATGTGGTTCTTACTTGAGTCTTTATTCAAATGACATAAACAATATTTTGTCCCATATTTGTCCCAATATATGAGACAATTGGAAAAGTGAACATTAGGTGATATTTCAGAAAATTTCTAGAACAATCAAAATTATGTGTAGGACAGGTATCAGTGATGCTTGGGAACTGGGTTGGGGTGGTGATGGAGGTGGAAAACCTGACTGCAAAGAGGCACAGGGGAATTTTTTTAAACTTTTTATTTTAATTAGAGTATAACCAATTAACAATGTTGTGATAGTTTCGGGCAGACAGCAAAGGGACTCAACCACACATATATATGTACCCATTCTCCCCCAAACTCCCCTCCCATCCAGTCTGCCACATAACAGTGAGCAGAATTCCAAGGGGACTTTTTAGGTAATTGTCATCTTCTATGTCTTGATTGAGGTGGTGGTATATATACTTGTTAAAACTCATTGAAATGTACATTTAAAAGTGTGTGCCTCATCAGGCACCTAGAGGCATAAATAGGGATGTTTGTTGTGGTTTGTGTCCCTTCTCTGTCGTTTATTGCATGACAGTGGGGAAAGACAACTGTTTCTGAGTTTACATGTCACTAGATGATAGAGAACCACTTCCCTATGTAGGGAAGAAAGTCCTTTCATTCTTGGGGAGATTCTGGAGATTCAGCAGAATGTAGTGACTGGAAAGGAGACTGCCTGCATCTATAGAATTCTCTGAGGAAAAGACACAAGTCTGGGTCCATGAATAGTATCAACTCATTCAGTCAGTTACTCAAACAATAAGTGATTACTTAACCCAAGAATTGTTGGATTTAGGGATATAAAAGACAGGCATGAGTCCTGCATTTATGAAGCTTACAGTTTGGAGGAGGAAAATAGTAGCCTATTTGCATTTAAGAGAAACTTATGAACAAATAGGGTCAATAATCTATGCTTGTCAGTTATATTAAAGGGAAGATGATTTCCCTGGGAATCACTTAGACCATTTTCTTCACTGCTTTCCCTGATCAGTACCTAATACCACCACTATACCTCCATTCTCAAATAGAGTATTCCCTTACTCCAATTACACTTAACAGATGAAGCATACTGATAGCATCACTGTCTGTGAGTGGTATAGAATTGCCTAGTTATGTAATTTTTATCTTTTTTGCTATTCACCAATATACAGATATACATTATTTTTCATTAAGAAGGCACCTGGAATGGATATACAAACTATGACAGTATATGGTTCTTTGTTGTATACTATGCTTGTTTTACAAACAAAAGTCAATGAGAAGGAAAGGGTGCATTGAGGCATTTACCTTAAATAGGAACTCATGTGTTCTGGTTTGAGAGCCAAAGAAGACACTAAGTGACTTTAGGCAAGACACAGCTTCTTTTATCTTTCATCATATTCTACTGTTACATAGAAGGCTATAGAGAAAAAAAGCTACTGAATACTATCCATTTATAAAGACAGAGTGCATATATTTATGTCAAATAGTGCAGCAGGAAAAAGGACTGAGACTGAGCCATAGCTTTGATGTATTTGACATCCTGGTTTTAAATTCATCCCTTAGCTTTTGGGGTTATAGAATGAAGCCATGAAAAAAATCTCTTTAAATAGCTGCATCTATATCAAAGCAGCTAAAAATAGTGTCCCAAAATGTGTTATATATCATATATCCTGTACATAGTCTATTTTTTTCTTAACACTTATTTCAAATAAGGCATTTCAACTTGCCAGAAAAATAAACAATATAGAAATTAAGTGATTTGTGAGCTATCATTTTATTGTGGTCCTGGTTCTATACAAATACTTTCCTTTCCATACATTAGCATTTATTCTTTCAAAACAACTTTATGAGTAAAAATTTTCTGAAATATTTTTGTATGTATAAACCCAGAAAAGAAAACTATGGGACTTTCCTGGTGGTCCAGTGGTTAGGACTTGTCACTTAACACTGCTCAGTCTCTGGCATGGGTTCAATCCTTGCCTCAAGGAACTAAGATCCCTTAAAAATGAAACATGACAGCATCATCAACAATAAAAAACAACCTCTAAGAAAACAATAGAGAGGCAAGTGACAATGAAAACATGGCAAGCCAAAACCTATGGGATGTAACAAAAAAAGTTCTAAGTGGGAAGTTTATAGCAATATAATCTTACCTCAAGAAACCAAAAAAACTCAAATAAACAACCTATCATTAAACCTAAAGCAGCTAGAGACAGACAAACAAAACCCAAAGTTAGTAAAAGGAAAGAAGTCATAGAGATCAGAGCAGAAATGAATGATATAGAGATGAAGTGAAGTGAAGTGAAGTCGCTCAGTCATGTCTGACTCTTTGCGACCCCATGGACTGTAGCCTACCAGGTTCCTCTGTCCATGGGATTTTCCAGGCAAGAATATTGGAGTGGGTTGCCATTTCCTTCTCCAGGGGATCTTCCCAACCCAGGGGTCGAACCCCGGCCTCCAACATTGTAGGCAGACGCTTTACCATCTGAGCCACAGGGAAGTCCCATAGAGATGAAGAAACAATAGCAAAGATCAATGAAACTAAAAGCTGGTTCTCTGAGGTTCTAAAACCAAAATTGATAAACCTTTAGCCAAAATCATTAAGAAAGAATGGGAGAGGACTCAAATCAATAAAACTAGAAATTAAAAAGGAGAAGCTATAACAGACACCCCAGAAATACAAAGGACTACTACAAGTAACTATACACCAATAAAATGGACAACCTAGAAGAAATAGGTAAATTCTTAGAAACGTACAGCCTTCCAAGACTGAACCAGGAAGAAATAGAAAATATGTACAGACACAAGTACTTAAATTGAAACTGATTAAAAATCTTCCAACAGTCTTTCTCCGAGTTCGCCTGTGTGTCTATTCACTCATAATCTTTTCCCTCCTAATAAACAGTTTACTTGTTTCACCAAAACAAAACAAAATGAAAAATTTTCCAACAAACAAAAGTCAGGACCAAATGACTTCACAAGAGAAGTCTATCACACATTTAAGAAGAGCTAACACCTATCCTTCTCAGACTCTCCCAAAAACTGCAGAGGGGGGAACCCTCACAGACTCATCTGCAAGGCCACCATCACCCTGCTAACAAAACCAACGATACCACAAAAGCGACGACACTACAGACCAGTATCACTGACAGATATAGGTGCAAAAATCTCAACCAAATACTCAAAGACAACCCAACAATATATTACAAGGATCATACACAATGATCAAGTAAAATTTACCACAGGGATGCAAGGATTCTTCTATATACTCGAATCAACCCATGTGATACACCATATTAACAAATTAAAGATTAAAAACCATATGATCTTCTCAATAGATGCTGAAAAAGCTAATCAACAAAATTCAACATGCACTGATGATAAAATCTCTCTAGGAGTGAACATAGAAGGAACATACCTCAACATAATAAAGGCCATATATGAGAAACCGACAGCAAATATTCTTAATGGTGAAAAACAAAGCCTGTAAAATCAGAAACTAGATAAGGATATCCACTTTCACCACTATTATTCAGCATAGCTTTGGCAGTCCTAGCCATGGCAATCAGAAAAGAAAAAGAAATAAAAGGAATCCAAATGGGAGAAGAAGTAAAACTGTTGCTGTTTGCATATGCCATGCATGCCACACACAGAAAATCCTAAAGACGGTACTAAAATCTAATAGAGCTCATCAATGAATTTGGTAAAGGTGCAAGATACAAAATTAATATAAAGAGGGTTTTTTGCATTCCTATACACTAACAATGAAAGATCAAA